AGTGCCTTTGTACTGAGCTACATCCCCAGCCTTTTTTTTTTTTTTTTTTTTTCTCACTTCTTACTTTGGGAAATGTTCTCACTAAGTTGTCCAAGGATGGGTTAGAATTTGTGATCTTCCTGCTCAGCCTCCAAGAATGCTGGATTACAGGTGTGTGCCACTGGATTTCCCTTTCTCCTTTCATGTTTAGAAGGGTCTGCACCTAATTTCTTCTGAACATGGTTCCTTCTAGACTCCATTACACCTCAGCTTTCAGAAACAGCTCTCTGTGTCTCCTTGTCACCTTCGTACTCCAGGTGCAAATGCCACAGTAAGTGATCATCTAGGTCGACTGCCTCATCTTACAAGGGCCTGGCATCTGTAGGCCTGAAGGGGAAAGCTGATGTGCCTGACATCATACATTGTTGGTGACCAAGTTGGTCCTGGAACCTGAGCTTCTCTGGCAGTTTTCCCTGTCAGCTCTCATCTGTGGTGTCCAGGAACTAGAAAACCTTTTACCAGTGTCTCTGTTGCCTGTTGAGCTGGATGAAGGGTCCTGGGGACTCTTCATATAAAAATAAATGTTACGTTATATGCTAGAAATTAGGGTCACCTCCAGTGTGTGTTCTCTGCCTGTCGCATACTCTGTTTGGCCTTGGTCTTGGCTCAGAGGAAGGTGAAGGTAAGAATAGATTGCTTGGTAAGCTACATGTAGTTACTGTTTGACAGGTGCTTAAACAAACATGTCGGATCTTTCTGAGATTGAAAAAACCTTGATGGTTCTGGCTCCCGAAGGTGTTTACAGCCAACATTTTGCTCAGCAAAGGGCAAGCACTGATCGCTGCCAGGTCTGCTGTTTCCTGCTGGAGCTCATGGGCTAGGCCAGGCTGCCTCATTGAGATCCAGTTACCTGATGGTTTTTCCTCCCCTCCCCTTCTCTGTCCCTTGTCATCTTGTGGGAGAATAGGAGATAGAGGTGAAGTGCCTGGCTCACTAAGCTGGCCTGGAGACTTACTAGCTTGCTGCTCGGAAATTGCTTTCTAAACTAGTA